GCAGCCCCCGCGCAGCCGCCGCTTGGGTGCGGGGCGGCTCGGCGCGCAGCAGGGCGCTGCGGACACCGGGACCGCCGCGCTGTCCCACGCGGGTGCGTGAGGCTGCGCTCTGTCTCCGCGCTGCGCGCAAATGGGGGGTCGCTGCCGGGGATCGCCAACCCCCGCCCTCGCTGCGTCGCCCTGCGCCACTGTCTCGGCTTGGCCGCTGTATTCCAGGGAAAAATGAGAAAAAAATAAATTCCCCCCCGTCCTGGCGAGCAAGGGGAGTGGGAGCCTTCCCCTCCACCTTGTCCATGTGCCACACGGGGCCCGGTGCTGCCCCGTCTCTCCCAACATTCCCAATGTGGAACGGGCACCGGAGAGTCATGATTTAGGAGCKCTTGGCCGTGCCGGAATCAGGCCGGGGAACGGCCCCGGTTCTGCGGGGAGGGGGCAATGCCCGATTTGCGTGGACAGGGCCGTCTCTGGGGGCACCTTGGATCCCGCCACCAGCTGGGCCTCCCCCGGCCGGAGCGCCGTCCTCGCAGCACCGGGCCAGGCCGAACACAAAGGGAGCGGGACAGCGAGGGAAGGGGCCGTGGAGAAGACGTGCGGCGTGGGGCAGCCTTGTGCAGGGAAGGAGCACGCATCCGCTCTCCTTAACGGGAAAAATGTTTCCAGACGGTCACATGGGGCTCCGGCCTCCCCGTGTGAGATTTCACACGCGTTTAAGCGTCTCTGCTTAAAGCTGGCGATCTCCAGGTTCGTGGGGGGGTCTGTCCAAGGGGCCGCTTCCCACAGTGCAGGGAATCTGTGTAAGAGGAATGACGGGTGAAGGCCGGGGGCAGTGTCCCGCCACCACATAGCTCCTTCCTTTCTTCCTTCCTCCTTCTTCCTCCTCGCGAGGATCAGAGAATACGGCTCGCTTATGTGGGCCGCACTCCCTGGTGATGCTAATGCGCTGCTCACCCACACATTTTTTTTTCCTCCTCTCTCTCGGCCTCGTTAATGACGTCCACCAAGGGTGAAATGATGGAAAGGATATTCATGGGCATGATTTCCATTAAGTATCAATTAACCTGGAGCCTCAGCCATGCGTGCCCGGCGTCAAGGGTAAATGTGCATCTCATTTCCCCAGCCCTCCGCAAGGAAATAAACTGGAGGCCTCGGGGGCCCGCTGTGCGCGTAGGGCCTGGCCCCAGGGGTGCGCGGCCGCGGAGGGGCCGGGCGCTGCGCGGGTGCCGTGGGCGGCGAGAGAAGCGCGCACGCGGTTATCGTTCCGCATCTGCTGCGTGGGGAAGCCAGGCAGCCCTGGCGAGTGCGCACCGGGCAGGGGAGGGAGAGCGGGGGGCAGTGGCGGGGCTGGATCCAGGCAGGGTAGGGCTGGGCTGGGTGGTTTTTTTTTTTCTTGCCCGAGGAGCGGCACATGTAAAATGAAGCCAAAAGTCCCCCCTGAGCTGCCGAGCGTGCGCGCGCGCGTGTGTGTGTGTGCGTGCGCGGGCCGCTGTGTGCCTAATAGGAAATAGTAAAAGCAGTGAGGCAGGTCATTTGGGGAGCGATTATCCTGCAGCCCTGGTCACCGCGTAGACGGAGGAGCGGGAGCGCGCGGCCGGCGGCGGCGGCGGCAGCGGCGGCGGCG